GGGGTTTTTCCTTGGGGACCGTTTCTATTCTCCCGTGGGGAGTGATTCTAGTGTTTTGTGTCGGTTGTATTTGAGTCTAGTTTTTTCTTTATTCTAGCTTGGCTAGCTGAGGTTCTATGCGGTCTTCTGACCTGTCCTCCCAGTTTTTTAATTGTTAGCTGTTTTATTCAGCTATGGGCTGTAATTTGCACACTTGTGCATTTTGATTTATAATAATCCCCTATCGTTCTGGCAAAAAAAAAAAAAAGAAAAAAAAGAATTTCATTAATTTTACATATTTTTATCCATGTCATCCAAGACTTAGATTTATTTAAATGCCACATAAGCAAGACTAGACCCAATTCATTAGAGCATCCACAACTTGGGTTTAATCACAAAAAAATTATATGCCACCTAAGAAATAGACAGTCTAAAAAAATGTATTCTTCAATACAAACAAAAGTAGACTGGGAACTCGGTCTACCCGTTTATTTTAGACTCGATCTACCCTTAAGTCTATTTTAACCAGAAAAAGAGACTCTTTGCACTGGAATATATTTTATCAATTTTACATATAGTTTTTTTTATCCATGTCATCCGAGACTTGGGTTTATTCACATGCCACCTAAGTAAGACTAGACTCAATGCATTAAATGCTCTTACTAAATATTATAAGGAAACCTCATAGGTTTGTGGTTTTAAACCTCTCCAAAACCTCTTACTAAAGATACCCTTAACAACTGAACCGAACATAGGTTATGACGAGGCATAATGTCAGTACAAATAGATAGAATATGTAGCATTTTAGATACACCTTAAACCACTAATCAAAAATAAACACCTCAAATCACAATATATCACTATGCTTCAGTAGACCAATCCTCTAATATTTTATATTAGTGCCTAAACCATACTATCACATAACTACATCTCATCTACCATTTGTTGGTGTCTGTCTCAAAAGGGGAAAAAAAAAGTTTTTCTCAATATTTGAACTCAAACATGCAGGAATCAGTAATAGGATAAGCTATAATAAAGTTTCCTGTGATTCTGCCTCTCAAAGTTGATGATGATATCATCAATGGAATCTTCCCAATTTTCTGTTTTCTCCAGCTGCATATATTTTTTTGCATGCAATAGTGTGATCGATCAGATTTACGAAACTAATTTTACTATTAAACTTTTAATCACAAGCGAAAGGTGTGTACCTCCTGGCACAGCTGTAAAGCAAGCCTGCCTCCTATAGCCGCCTCTTCATGGTTATCTTTTACTTCCAGGTTGATTATCAGAACAGGCTTCAGATGCACGTGAATTCGATTATGTAGATCTGCATTATTTACCAGACGCATTGAACACATCAATAAGAAGAGATTTATTCAGTATAGGAAACAGGTTATACCTTCTCCCCACTGGAGGAAGTTCAAGAGAGAAAAAAACAATTACGTGTCGTGTCAATATATCCAACTCAAAATCCAATAAGAACTATGATGAAATAAGTAAAGCTTTAGTTCAAATGATGAACAACAATTGGTATGATTAATCAGTGCCATCACTTATTGCATGGAATGTTTATAGAATGAATCCCTCAGGGTCACATTGAGGTAGGAAGACTTGAATTTGAGAAGTGAATTCGGGCAAGGATTTCATCAGTTACAATACGATGTCACTCAGAGCAATTTAAAATAGGCCAAATAAAAGGCCAGGGATTTGAAATCCATTATATTATAGCATTGGACTTTCGAAACAAGCTCAACAAGTTTATAATTATGGATTTGTAAGTTGTTTTAAAATCAATCACATAATAAAGCATGAACTAAAGATTTAAAAGTTAATGAGATCATTCAATCTTGAATACCAAATCCATTATGTTTCACCAGAATATTGGTTATGAATCCCCAGATAAAATCCTCCATGAATGTATATATATAAAACTTTTTCCTGCAATTCGGAGACCTTTAAGTAAATGCAAAAACAGAACTCAGACTATACTTTAAACCAATTTATCCTAAAAAGATTTTTTAATGACAAAGCTTTCAGCTTGTAACTTGTTAGGCAAATATAAAAACCATGCCAATTAACTTCAGAATTACAAATGAGAAAGAATATGATAATTATGCTGACTGACTCACAAACCTTCGACAACCATATCAAAAACTTTCTCTTCAAATGTAAGCACCACATCAAAGGTGCCATCAGCAGCATTATCTTGCCAACGCTGAGGGGCGAGTTTTACTGCCAAGTTCCTCTTGAGCATGGGCAGTATCCCATTTCGTCGGTACCTTTATAATTGCAACTCTGTGAGGCTCAAATACTCAAATCAAACTCACTTGAAAAGAAAAAAAATGTGTGTATATCACTATCATATTGATGATGATGGTCGATGAGTCATATCATTTGGCAAAAGTAAGTTACCAAAGCGTTTGCGCTTTTACAAACATCTTATGCTTGAATCCCCAATAAGCCTACATCACATACTGAAAA